CAAGCCCAGTCTTTTCTGGGGGTAATTGGTATCAGCTGATGATGTCCTTCCAGGCCTTTTTCTATGTAATGATAGACTCCCACATGCACCTAAATAAAATACACAGTATACTAAATAATGCCATTTATACTTCCAAAGTGCCTCTGATTCCCAGTGCCACAGTGGACATCCTTGCACCAGATCCCTATGCTCATCAGCGTGTGTTCCTGTAGAGTAGGAACAAGAGAATTTGCGGGGCTCTGGGGCATGTGTGCTGTGGGTCTAACCAGCCCCTGAGTGACCCCAGTGGGTGGCTGTGCGTCCTTACCCTCCACGAGTAGCCGATGAGAGGACTGGAACTGCTCTGGTCTCACAGGGGCCGCTTCTGCTTCTCCCAAGGCGGCTGAGGACCAAAGAGAGGATCCAGGAGCTTTGCCCACTGGTAGACAGAAAGTTCAATTCCAACAATCTGAACTGATTTAGAAATGATTTAAAGATTTTATTTGTTTATTTTTAGAGAGATAGGAAGGGAGGGAGAAAGAGAGGGAGAGAAACATCAATGTGTGTTTGCCTCTCTTGCACCCCCTACTGGGGACCTGGCCTGCAACCCAGGCATGTGCCCTGACGGGGAATCGAACCGGCAAACCCTTGGTTCACAGGGTAGCACTCAACCCACATCAGCTGATGAGCCACATTAGCTAGGGCTAGAAATGATTTAACAGCTTCCCTTATGCAGCACAGAGGAGGGGCTAAGTACCCGTGTTCACACTAAACCTATGAGGTAGATACTATTATCCTCATGTCTGTTTCACAGATGAAGTAACTGAGACACAGAGGAGTTAAGTAACTTGCTCAAGGTTACATGGTGGGAAAACTGGGGTCAGAATCCAGGCAGCGTGGTTCTGGACATTGGATTATGGACTCTATATTACATAATAGTTTTGAATCTTTTTTTTCCATTTGATGATGGAAACTAAAAGAACATCTGCAATGTTGTTTCCCTGGGATAAGAGGAGGCAGGGAAGAGAACCCGTGGTTTAACAAGGAAAGCAGAAGCCGAGGCTCCTGTTCTGGCATGCCACTTCCTGCCTGTGATGACTGGTACCATTCTGGAAAGTGGGACTGCAATAGTGTCCCCCTCCCGCGGCTGCTTGGCTGCTGAGGGCTGACTGAGCGCCCACAGGAGAAGCCAGGGCCGGCGGCTTGTCTCACTTCAGCCAGCAAGGAAGGCCCAGCAGGACTGGCCGAGAGGGCCGCACCCGCAGTCAGTCCCCCTGGGCGCCGGCTCCGCATGTGGGAGGCAGACTTGGAGGGGCTGTGCCCCTTTCTTCCCTCCACCTACCCCACCCCACGCCACCCCATTTCTCAGCCAGCCCCACAGTAGGTGCTCCCAGCAAGACTTCTCAGCCACGGGGTGCTCGATCCTCTTTGTTGGTTTCTAGCAAATTAAAATTTATCTCTCAGGGAGGAAATGAGGGGTCGGAAAGGGGGGTTGCTTCTTCCTAATGGGCCCTGATGAAGGAAATGAATGCAGGGAAGGGATCAGAAATCCGATCTACCGCCAGCCTGTTCGGAATGGTCTGGGGGCTCCCTGCACCCTCAGAGGGGGCAGCTGGGCACAGTGTGTTTTATTATATAATTAACCTTGACCCTTCTGGGTTCAAAGAGGGAGTGTAGTTGGAAATAAATCAATAGTCTGGTCTGGTCACTTCAAAGGCTTCAGAACCCGCTGGAAAATTCCATGTTGATTCAGTGTGTAAATTAGAATAGGGTGTGCAATCTCTTTTTGAAAGGTGGATGGGGGGTGAGTCTCAAATTGAAATTAATTGTGTATCCGTTTCCTTTAATCAAGCAATCAGAAGTCTTTATTGTGTATCTTGTTGGGGGGGATGGGAAGGCCCAGGAGGGAACACTATGTGACCTCTATGTGGCTACTGGGTCAGGCACTAGGACAATAGACATCTCTCCAAGCTTAGGAAGCACCTCCCCCTCCCCAGCAACGTTCAGCTTTTTATTTCAACACGTCTGGAATTCTTGGAATCATCGAACCATCACCATCATGACACAGCAGTTACTATGGACCAGGTGCCAAGCATTTTCCAGTTATTTTCTCATTTGATCCTCATAACAACCCAATTAGATAAGTACCATTATTATCTCTATTATACGTGAGGAAATTGAGCTTCAGAGGGGCTACATTGCAAGTCCAGAGCCACTTTGAGTTTTTCGAAGTCTGTTTCAATGCCACAGCTCAAGGAATGAAAATAAGGCCCATGGAAGAGTTGCACAGCGCCCAGAACCTCCAGTCTCCAGGTTCTTCCCCCTGACGTTGTTAGAAGGGCAATAAAGCGGCGGCTGGTTTCTCTTAAAGTCTCTCTTGGCATTATCCCTAATTCACCGTTCACCTTTCTCTCCTTTCTCTTCATCTTTCTTTCTCATTCCTTCCCTCTCCTCCCCCTTGCTTTCTTTTTTCTTGTTTTCTTACCACAAGCATGTTTTCAGTGTTTGGCGCTGCTCCATGACAGCACTGACGGGTCATAAAGAGACGAGACACCGTGCCTGTCCTTGGGAAACTCACATCCAAAGTTCTCGGAGCAGGGACAACAGAATGCATCTTGTGCACATTATGCTGCAGAAGGAAACTGAGGGTTAAGCAAGATGCAGAGGAAGGGCAAAGGGAGAAGTGGTTCTAGCGGGAGAGGGTCAGGAAGGATTGGGCAGAGGTGATGTTTGTAAGGATCTGGAAGGATGGGATGGTGAAGCAATATTGTTCCAGGGGGAAGGAACATCTTGCAGAAAGAATGGAGGCAACACTATGCACGACATGTTCCATAGAAGCCAGGATCCCAACTTGGAGGACTGGAGTCAATGATAGGGGCTGCAAATTAGGCTTTGTTAATAACAACAACAACAGCAGCAGCAACAGCAAACATGGTCCTGAGTGCTTTACATAACTGACTTGTTTACTGCTTACAATAACCTGTAAGGTGGGTGCGATCTTTATCCCTAGTTTATAGAGAAGGAAATGTGCACTAGGGATTAAGGGATGTCCACTGGGTCACATAGCCGGACAGTGGCTGCATGGAAATTACAAACCCAAGCCGGTACTCTTAACCATTGAGCTACACAGCCACTCATGAATGGGCCTTGAATACCAGGCCGCAGGTATTGACTGCTCTGGGAGCAATGGGGAGCTATGGCAGGTTACTAATCTGACCCACATTTTAGGACATTCCCAAGCCTCCTACTCCAGGGTCTGACATTCCTGGGTCTCTCCTCAATATTCAAAAAGAAAATCTCTACATCAGCCCACATAGACCATTCCCTCCTTCGTTCTCCTGCCCCCAAGCTCCCCTGCCTCCTTCTCTTCTATACACAGACAACAAGTCATCAGAGGGCACGGGCCTAGAACAAGGAGGCCCAGGTTGAAGCCCCAGCTCCACTGCCTCACTTCTCTGGGCCTCAGCTTTCTCATCTGTTTAATGAGGGGATGACAGGAAGCCCCGTCCTGCCCAGCAGAGGGCTGTGAGAAGACTCAGATGAGGTAATGCGGAGGCATTCTACTCAGCACCACGGGACGTACTGGCAGAGGTGTCATCACTACCACTGGGGCGCTAAGGACTCCATGGAGGCTCTCTCCCTTCCCTGAGGAAGCTCTGGGCTCTCTGACTCTCTTGCTGGTTCCCCTTCCACCGGGTAAGCCACAAATGACTATCCTCATACACATCAACCTTGCAAAAAGCATATGCTCTGGAAATCTAGCAATCATTCATTTATACATTTATTGAGCACCTACTGAGTGCCAGACCCCATGCAGCAGGTGATACCTCCTGGCCACTCCGTGATCTCACCATGCACGTCACACCTCCAAGCCTTTGCTCTCGCTGTGTCTTCAGCCTTGGACATCCTTTCCCCCTTCTCCACTCCTCTTCAGAGGCCTCCTTAATCCTGGATGTCAGGGAATCACATTTTATTTTGTTTCTAGAGCTTATTGCAGGTAGCCGTGCAAGTAAGAATATACCGTAGATAGATGGCAGTTATTTTTTTCCCCCCAAACCTGTGCTGTCAGCCGACCGGGTCTGTCTCCTTCTTGCACAGGACAGAACACATGTTAACTTCGAGCTTCAATCAGGAGTGGGTAATCAGGCCTTAGTCCCCACAGCTGTAATCTTCTACAATTCCACAGGGTGGCAGCAAAACCCTCCAGTCACAGCCCTCTCCCCAGAGCGCAGAGCTTCCAGGCTCCCTCAGCGCAGGGCCGGCCAGGCCAGGTGCGGGATCCCTGGGAGCGTACTTTCTGCTCTTTCTCGCCCTCAGCCCTCCACTTGGGTCACTTTGCCTTGCCTACGCTAGTTTCTCTACTTGTAATAATGGATCATTTGAAACACTTAAACTGCACACTTCACTTACGAACTCATTGAGTCCTCTTCAGCAAGTTTTTTTTTTGATAGCTTTATCAAAATGTGATTCACATACCATACAATTCACCCATTAAAGTGTGCAATTCAGTGGTTTTTAGTCTATTCACATAGTTGTGTAACCACCATCACAATTCTAGAACATTTTAATCACCCCCCCTTCCCTACACCCCCAGCAAAAGAAATCCTGTATCCATTAGCAGTCATTCCTCATTTCCCCCCGACCTCCAGCCTAGGCAACTACTAATTCTTTCACTATAAAGATTTGCCTATTCTGGACATTTCATATAAATGAAATCACACAACATATGGTCCTTTGGGACTGGCTGTTTTCACTTAGCATAATGTTTTTAAGGTTCATCCATTTTAATGTTAAAATAAACTGTTGTATGGTTATACTACATTTAGTTTCTTCATTCATCAACTGATGGGCATTTAGGTCTTTTACATTTTTTATCCATTATGGATAATGCAGTTGTGAATATCGGTGTACAGGTTTTGTCTAAACACGTTCTTAGTGAGTTCCAGGAGGTACCGAGTGGGCTAACTTGAGGATCCTGGGTCCACTGCCACTGGGGAGGTGAAGTGGGGGTCCCCAAGACTGGCAGGTGATGGCTTTTTCTCATGATGATCTGTGGATGCCACTGTGGGCAGCGCCGATAGTGCCAATGACTTCGCTGATGCCAGGAGAAGCACAGAGCCCTTCCCGGGGTTTGCCTACCTAGGCTCACAAGGTTGGCTGGAAGCACAGGCGGTCACAGCCACTCTAGAGAGAAGAGGAAGAAGGCCAAGATCCATTACAAGAAGTAAAAACAGCTCACATGCCTACGGAAACAGGCCGGAAAGAAGGTGGAGAAGAAAACTGAGATACACGGAGGTCCTCAAGGATCATGCGCTCCTGGCCTGAGTCCAATAAAATTGACTGTTAATTCCTAAAAACAAAAATCAAAACCATGTTTTCGTTTTACTTGAATATACACCAAGGAATGGAACTGCTGGGTCTTGGGTCTTATAGTGACTGCATGTTCAGCCTTTTGAGGAACTGACAGACTGTTTTTCATAGCAGCTGTACCATTTTTTAATTTCTACCAGCAGTGTATGAGGATTCTGATTTCTCCACATCCTCATCGACACTTGGTATTATCTGACTTTTTGATTCTAGCCGTCTTAGTGGAAATGAGCTGATTTCTCATTGTGGTTTTTCTTTTCCTTTTTTTCATGTGTGTATTGGCCATCTATGTACATTCTTTCTTTTAAAAAGGATTTTATTTATGTATTGTTAGAGAGAGGGGAAGGGAGAGAGAGAGAGAGGGAGAGAAACAGCAATGTGCAAGAGATACATGGGTTGCCTCTCACTTGTCCCCAAGTTGGGGCAGGTGCTCAATTGACTGAGCGTCAGCAGCCAGGGCCATTTGTGAATGTTCTTTAGAGAAATATTTATTCAGGTCCTTCACCTATCTTTAAATTCAGTTACTTGTATATATTGAGTTATTATTATCAAATTATAAGGGTTCTTTATATTTTATAGATACAAGTTCCCTATCAGAGACATCATTGGCAATTATCTTCTCTCATTCTGTAGTTGCCTTCGCATTTTCTTGATGGTGTCATTTGACACACAAAAGTTTTAAATGTTGACAGTGTCCAAGTGATTTTTTTTTTTTCTTCCTTTTTTGATTGTGCTTCTGGCATCATATCAAGGAACTATTGCCTAATCGAGAGTCAGGCCAGGCTGTGGGCATTTGAGGGGGGATGGCCAGGGCCAGACCCCGCATAGTGACAGTGGGCACAAGGCACAGGTGACCAGCAGGCCATTTGTGTGCTTGGGAGCTTCAAGTCCGGCCCACTTCCCTCTTGAGCTCAAGTAGCAAGGCCCTTCCCAGCCTGGCTCCCCCGCCCTTCTCAGCCTTTGCTCGCCCCATCCCCTCCCTGCCCCAGGTGGCTCTGTGAGGGCGCCAGGGCGGAGGGGGGGGGGCCGGGGGGCGGGGGAGCACAGAGTTCCCCATCAGCCCTTATAATACCTTTGCCGGGGGAGTGTGGAGTTAGATGTCCCCCTCCCTGACTCTGGCCTGAATCCAGAGTTCAGGACAGTCCTTCTCATCCTTGGTTGCTCCCACTCCTCCATTTCCTGTTTCCAGTCCAGTTTCTCCTGTCCTGAGCGGCCCCTCCCCTCACTGCCCTATCCCCAGTCTCCAGTTAATAACCGCGGGCCTCCATGTTTACCTCCAGCCCCATCCCCCTTACCCTCTCGCTCGGACGGTGCCCTGCCTGCGTTGAGCCGAAAGGGCCCAGATGGTGTGTGCTGTCCTGGGTTCTCTCCCTCCCTGGCTCTGCCTCTAACATCCCTGTGACCCTCATGGACTCCCGTCCCTCGTGGACCCTCTGTTGCTTTGTCTCATGAGGGGTCTTGGTCCCTTCCAGCGCTGTCATTCTGGCATCCACCATCCTGGGAAGTCAGGCATCTCAGGCTTGCACCAGCTCCCCTTGCCCTTCCCCCACCACGCCCCCACCCACTGCTCGAGGGGAGGGAGCAGAGAGCAGAGAAGCCCCCGTCCAGGTGTTCACAGGAGCCTGGCCCCCCTCCCTGCGGCCTCTGGACTGGACCCCTGGACCGATATTCATTAGTAATGGAGATGAAACCCAAGAGCGAGCGGGGTTTAGCGTAGGAGTCGGGAGCGCTCCCTGTCTGTCCTCCCGCAGCGCCAGCAGCAGCCCTTTCAGGCTGTGCCTCCCCTCCCATCACCAGAGCCTCTGGGGGGCGCTGTCCCCTTGGCCCAGCCTGCTCGCTGACGCTTGTTCTCCACCTGTCCCTCTGAAGGAGTCCTGCGGTAAAACATGTCTGCTCTTCTTTTGCTTTACGCCCATCAAGAAAGGGAATCTAATTCCCTTCCCTGGAATATGACCTCTTTGGTGGCTTGCTTTTAATGAATAGAATATGGCAGAGGTGATACTGTGTGACAACTAGGGCGAGGTTTGAAATGATGATACAGTTTCCACCCGGCTCTCTCTCTCTCTCAGGACCTCAGGAAGCTTGTCCTTCAGTCCCAGCCACCCTGCTGTGAGGGTGCCCAGGTCACATGGCGAAGCCGGGCCTGGCAGCCAGCGTCAGCTGCCAGATATGCGAGCCAGGGGCCTTCGGATGAAGCCCAGGCTGTCAAGCTGCCCCACCGATGCCACCGAGGAGGGCAGAGTCAGCTGTCCTGCTGACCCTGCCCAAATTGCGCAGTTGTGAGCAAAATATACGTTAGGGTGAACCATTAACTTGCAGGGTGGTTTGCTAATTAGCTAATTGCAGCAGGTTGCTGCTGAAGTCAGCCCAAAGATAGTGTGCGTGTGCGGCTGTGCGTGTGTGCCTGTGTGTCGTGGGGGTCTTCAGCCCGAGGCCTCTAGACTATTTGAGATCTCTGGATCCAGACTCCAGCTGGGCCTCTCAGCTTTGACATCCATTTCTGCTAAACTCCTAATTGGAACCCTGTATCTCTCTCTACCTTAGCCCAGTTCAGAGCCTTGTTAAAAGAGGCCCTGCCGGTATTTGGTGTAATTGCATGCAATTTGCATACACCTACCTGAGTTATATTAGGTGGTTTCTCAATGTTTACCTGATGCTTCCATGGGGGAGGTACAAGCATCTTGGACTCTTCAAGGGGACAAGGGCACAGGGGATTACCTGGTCTATTCTCCCACCCTTGCAGGGTCTGTCTGTTTGAACAAATGATAAACCCACCACCTCCCAGGCAGCCCTGGGGTGGCTGGAGTTGTTGGCGAGTTCCTATGTTTGTCAAGTTCTGTGCAGAGAAAGATGGTGTAGGCTGTTTGCACTTGGGTTTAGTTCTTTCCTCAGGGAAAATCAGGGCAAGTCAACCATTGCCCTCCGCCCACCCCCAACTAGTTACAGGACAGGTACCATGGTGGCCACAGGCCCTCTTTCTTAGTTCAGCACCCACAGCACCATCATTGTTTCTGGCCTGACCCCAGCCCCAACACCCAAGCAGGCCTCTCCCGGAAGTGCCAGACCAGAGGCTTTCAAAAGATCTTTCCGGAGCAGAAGGCTGTTTTCAAATGAAACCTCACAAAGAGTCCAACATAAAAGGCAGGTGAAAAGTGGAGGTGCTCTGGGTGAGGGTAGGCAGGAAGAGCAAAGCGCCACCCCCCCAGAAGTTTCCCAGCACCCCTAGCCACGGCCAGGTTTGTCCCCTGCCCAAGGTGCCCTGGGATGGGACGCAGCCCTGCAGCCCTGCGGCACCTCCCGCCGCGAGCCTGGCTTTCCATTTCAGCAGCAGAGGGGGCGCTGCCAGTCTGAGCAGCTGCCTCACCCCATTGCCTCTCACTCAGGAAGCTTGAGGTCCCCCCAAGCGCAGAGACCCCCCAGACCTTGGTCAGCACAACCACCTTCAAGCCAAGTCTCTCTTCCGTATCCTCAGCCTCAGCAGCCCCAGACACCTGCCTTCAGGAGCCTGGATTGAGGCCAGGACAGGGAGGAGTGGAGAGGCCTGGGCAGGGCTGTGACTGCGGGCCTTGGAAAGAGCCACTCACTCAGAGCCCCAGTTCCCTTATCTGTAGGGGAGGGAAACAGTCCTTCCTCGTAGACTATGCATGAAGAGCACAGAGCCCTGCCCAGCACTTGGCTCCTCGCTGGCTGTCACTCTAGAGCCGAAGAACTGGTCCAGGATTTCTCTCTGCCAGCTCAGCAGGCGTGGAGCAGTGGTTGGCACGCAGACCCTGGCCTGGGTGCAGTCTGACCTGCCATCACCAGCTCATCCTTTCTATAAAACGGAGATGATAACCAGAGTATCTACCTCCCAGGGAGGTTGTGAAGACCCAGGAGCCTCCCCGCCCATGGAAAAGACTCAGTATGCATGGTGCCCATAAGCAGCACACAGTGGTGGCTGCTGTTACCATCCAGGGACCTGACCCTGTGAGGGCCTGGCCTGGCCCACACTGTCACCCACTCCTCTAGGACCCGACACAGCCACAAAAACACTCGAGGTTTACTTTGGCAACAGGACTTTTATTCAGTCAAAATGAAAGGCGTGACAAATGTCAGGCCGGGTAAGGCCAGGTGGCGCCCTCAGCCCCTCCCTCTCCCAGACCCACCCTTCCCACAGGGGAGGGGCTGCATGATGAAGCAGGTGCAGAGAAGCCCCCGCAGGGACCCGGGGGGCACTGTCTGGGAGCTGTGAGGAGCCCTGGGCGCGGGCCCAGCGTTTGGGAGAAGGGGCGGACGGCCCTTCTGAGCCCACACGGACATGACTCCAGTCTTCTAGGAAAACATCACAAAGTCTACCTTCTTCAGCTAATTAACTAAAGTTCAGGGTGAGGGGTCCCTAGAGGGTTGGGGGTCAGGGACATTATTATCTAATCTCACACTGAAGGAATACACTTATCTTTTTTTTTTTCCTTTAAAAAGAAGATTTCTTTCTGCTATTTAAAAAAATGTTTCTGAGTGTAACCAAAAATAGGTATTTGTTTCCTTGGTTTTCTTTTTTCTTCTTTAACTAAGTATTTCAAAGAACAACACAACAGAAAAGAGAAACAAGAAGTCACAAGAACATAAAAAGCCTTAAACACACCTTGTATAAAAATAGCTTCCTGCCACATTTGCTGACAGTGGGCTTTCCACTGTCCAGGGGGCGGGTCAAGCTGGCTGCGTCCCATGGGACAAGGGTCTGGGGGGCCTCTGCCGGGGACCC